CACTGTCCGTGGGGGCGGGGCGCCAGCCAGGCCCGTGGCCAGGGCCCACCCTCGACAGCACCGCGCCCTCAGAGGTTGCTCACTCGTCTCGGAGGGTCTGTCACCCCAGAACCAGGGCCAGGGCCGGCCACAGGCCGGGCTGCAGGGCCTGCCAGGCGCCCGCTCTTCTGCCCAGGCGGCGTCTGGCGAAACATGGCACAGGAGCCACGGGTGGCCCCACCGGCGGCCGCCTGACGCCCTTCCTGACAGCCGCGCCCCCGGGCTTGCGACGTTCTGTCATCAGGCCGGGTAGTGCCGGCTGCCCGCAGGGGGCGCCGGGGGCAGGGACCCCCGGCCCTGCCACGCCGCCCCACCTGCCCCTCCGGGTGTTCTCTTTGCCCTGAACTAGGCCGCCGTGGTTACTGGCTTGCGCTGGCTCCAGGGGCCCGCTGCCATTGTGGAATTCGCTTGCTAACGACCTGACCTTCGGAGAAAGACGCGGGGCCTCCCTGGGCCAGGGGTGCGTCTAGCGCTCTGGAACGGTGCTGGCCGCTGCAGCTCGTGTCTGACCCTCAGCAGGGAGGGCCCCAGGGCGCAGCAGACCCTCCGGCGCCCCCTCAGCAGTGGTTCCAGGGGATCTGCCTGTGCTGCTCCCCGCTCTGGCTCTGGGGAGTCCCCTCACCTGTGCGCTGCTGGCCTGCGCCCCAGCTCTCGTGTGCATAAGAAATTAGGTCTTAAAAAAAATAGCCTGAGACGCAATTCCCGACACCCTGAAGCCCAGATGAGCCTCGGAGCCTGGAAGCCGGTGGCCCAGGACCCTCACCAGCGGCCGAGGCTGGGCGCCCGCCTGCCCGCCCAGGGCCCGGAGGGGCAGCCCGCGGCTGCTTCCTTCCAGCGTAAGCAAACCGGGGGGCTGGGGCGGAGGGTGGCCTCCCCGCGACCCTCCCACACCTGGGGCTTGAGCGCCGCGGCCCGCCCGCCCCCCCACGCCCCGGCGGTACCTTCGGGGTCCTCCTCCGCCTGCTCCTCGCGGCCCTGCAGGCTCTGCTGGCTGAGCTCGGATGCCATCCCGCGGCCGCGCTGCTGGACCCCGTCATCTCCGGCCTCCTCAGGCTCCGCCCGCCTGTCAACTGCGGGCAGCGGTGAGGCTGCGTCCCGGGGCAGCTCAGGCCGGTGGGGCCTGAGCCTCACCTGGGGCGGGCTGCGGTGGCTGGGCAAGGCCGGCGGCTGTCCCTTGGGGGGCCCGTGAGACCTACGTCCCGCCTGCCCCGGGGAACAGCCGTGGCCTCGGCACCTCGTCCTGGCTCCGCCGGCCCCTGGCCGAGAGGGCCAGCCAGGCCACGGGCGGCGCTGAGCGGGGCCGAGGCTGCTGCAGCTCCGGCACTGGGTGTGGCCCCGAGCGCCAGGTCTTGCCAGTCCCGCTCAAGCCGTGCCAAGGGCTTCGGCCAGAGCATCCCTGCCTTCCATTTTCTGCAGTTTAGGGTAAAGCTGGTGAGGCCCAAAGCGTGGGCAGAGGCCGCAACACTCCCTGCGGCCTGCCTGGCACGCTGGCCGCAGGGGCAGCGCATCTCCTCCTGCCCTTCCTGCCGGACCCCGCAAGGCAGCACCGGCACGGGACTGCTGGTGCCCTGGCGTCGGGAGACGGCTGGCGGGGCCGGGCAGGGACAGCAGGCTGGGTGACGGCCACGGGCAACAGCAAACTCCGCGGGGCGGAGGCGAGGGGGGCGCGGCCGGACGAGGCTGAGGGGCGGAGCGCTGCGCTCTTGTGTCCTGCGCGCCGTGGCTGGTGGCCCCCT